AATATGTAATAATTATTATATAGAGTCATTATATATCATAAATTATAATTCATGTTGCAAATACAAAATAAAATTTATTTTATATTGCAAAAAGTTGCATGTCAATTGAACGTAAAATCATTTCTGCGAACGTTATAAAAATTGTAATTATCTATAAATGATATTAATAATAATGCTTACCTGTTGTAACGATTTCTTTATAATCATACCGAGAAGATTGTTTTATAATCACTTTTTGTTTTCCATAATACGTATAATCGCCATCCATAGCGACACCAACTATGTGACTTAAAAATAACGTAACTTCAAAGTGTATTTTTGAATCCAGATACATTCCGCGAATTTTGTTTTTTGTAGCATATATCAATGTAGCCTCACCACCTATAGTTCAAATAAAAATTTGCATTTTTGTAAAATTTAATTTAAATGGATATGCGCAATCAAGATCGCGAATTAGCTTACCACGGGCTTTGCAAGTTCTCGTATCATTCTGCAAAAAATATTCCTCTTGACACGTGCACTTGTAAGATCCTGGAAAATTTGTACAATTTTGATCGCATGTGCCATAAAACTGACACTCGTTGATATCTACAGAACAGAAAAATCGTTAGACAACCATGACACAATCTTCAAGTCATTATCATTTTTATTCATAATGGATTTACCACTACAAGTGCGATTATCATCTTCTAATTTAAAACCCGATTTGCAGAAACATACACTTTCTTTAGGTGTTTGCTTGCATTGCTGACTACATCCTGCATATGTGCAATTGTGTACTAATGATGTACCTGAAAAGAAATTGAAGAATATAATATTATAATAAATTATACAAAGATTACATCGTGAAAGATTTAACTATATATATTAAAATAAAAAACGATATATAATAATTAAAATATGTTGTGATAAAGATTTTAATAATTAAAATATGATAATAGTATACTCACAATTGGAACCTTCGTCTGACCCATCGCCACAATCATCCTTGTTATCACATACTTTATCAAGAGATATGCACCGGTGATTTTTACAAAAATATTGAGAATTCTTAGTTTTACAATCACTCTCGGATGATGTTTTATTTGCCTCTGAGAAAAATACGCAAAAATCATATAGAATTTTTTTTTATATAATAAGATATAATTATCCGATAATTATTAATATTCTATATTTTTCTTAAAAAAATTACTGCAATTCCATTCATCGCTGCCATCAGGGCAATCCTTGGAGCCGTCGCAGACCCATTCTTCCGATATACAATGTTTGTCATGACATTGGAATTTGCCGGTGCAATTTAACTGTGAGAAAAAAGAAAATAGACTTGTGATTTTGTTATTTTAGGAAAAAGATAATGCAAATAGAAAAATAAATACAAAAAAATTCGCGCCGATTATTTACTTTTTCCACGCAGCCCTCATATTCATCGCTTTTATCCGGACAATCATTTATCGCATCACAAAACTTTGCTGCGGGTATGCATTCGTTAGTTTTGCATTGGAATTCATCTTTGGCACATGTGATGATGAAAGGATGCTCAAGTAGCTGAAAAAGCAGAGAGAAATTATTTTTTACATTGTTTATGCCCGATACAACGCAATGTTAAGCAATAAAATAAGACATTATGTTTCAAATGAAATTTTATTTAGACAAATGATATTATTCAATCAAATATAATATCATAAATGGAAAAGCAAATTATTTTAATATTTAAAGATAAAATGTTATTTCGGAGAATCTGTCTTAACGAATAGAATATATCTTTCAAAGAATTCATTTTTGTCAGCGAAAATATTCCATTAAATTAATTAAAATTAAAATAAAAAAAAGAAGTTTACTATTTGCTCCCGAGAAGAAAATATGATAATTACAATATAATCTTTAAAATTAAAAATAGATTTATTAAAGCACTTATAATTTTAAAATAAAAGATTACAGTGTGATCTAGTTGTAAAAATTAATAAAAGCTATTTAACTGAAAAAATTCTTTTGCAAACTGAAAATAGATAAAAATTGAAATGCTATTGGCAATAAATAATTCATCTAAGTTATAAAATACTCACGTCAAAGTTGTCACAATTTTCTTCATCTGAGCCATCCAAGCAGTCCTCGAATTCATCGCATCGTTCTGAGAATGGTATGCATTCTCCATTGTGACAACGAAAATAATCGAGTGATGAGCATGTAATTCCAAAAGGGAAACCTTAAAAAAAAACAAATTATTAAAATTATTGTTTAGACATATCTTCTTAAAACAAAATTCTTTTATTACATTGTTGATGATAGTAAAAACAAGTAAAAAACAATATAATCACAAACAAACTTATTTTAATACGTTAATGTTTGTAAATTTGAACATAATTCAGTTATAAATTAATTTACTTTCTAAATAAAACTTTTATCTTGAATTAAAATAAAATTTATTCATCATTTTACCTAACTCGAAAGAAGAATGTAAGAAACTGCATATAAATAATAAAGTCACAAGACGACGCATAATCTGAAAACAAACACATTAAAATTTTATTATAATAAAACAAATAAACTTCATGAATTATTTGTTGCTTTTCCAATTATTTTTTTTTACCAAGTTACATACATACATACATACATACATGTATACATGCATACATATATACATACGTGTGTGTGTGTGTGTGTGTGTGTGTGTGTGTGTGTGTGTGTGTGTGTGTGTGTGTGTGTGTGTGTGTGTAT